TCTACCTTTGACCAACGAATAGTGGGACTGACCGTGGGTATTTATTTGTTTGTTTGTTCAAACTTACATATTCAGACTTTGTAAATTGTATTGAATTATTTACATGGCATCATAGATGTAGAAAACTAAATGTGTGTGTATGTGTATGTGGGAGGGGATAACAAACTTGGGGGTGAATCAAGCTTGCCAGAAGTTCTCTTTCGACGGCGATGGGGTTCGTGGGCATGCTCCCTCGGGAAAATGTTTAAATCATGGCAGCAATATGAGACCTTTTGGATGCAGTGGGGGTTAAGATATGATGTAAATTAGGGGGAAAACATCGGCGAAATTGATGTGAAAATAAACAGGTTAAAGGTTAACGGCCAGTTTACACCACTTTTTTCTGTCTTGATCTCTTTGTCTCCAGATACTAAACTAATTTTAAAATTATTGCGTGTATATCATGAGTTAATATTTAGGCCATAAACTAAATTAACGTAAACCGAAATCTATTGGGAGGACAGTGCTCTCTGCCCCCCCCCCCCCAAGCAGATCTTCCATCTGAGATATAGTCATTTAAGATTTTTATATTCTCTACATTCTGTCTCCCATTGACATTTGACATTTAAAATTTTTTCTTCTCCCAAGCTAACTATTTGTTCTCCCCCCTCATGACCATTAAATAAAAATATCCTATAAAAAGCCACTAGCGTGTTTAGTATTGTATGAAATATACATACTTTTTCTGGCTTTCCAGGAACCTGTCAAATTCAACGGACATCTTACAACACAGGGCTTTCCTAGGAATAAAATAGAGTTGTATTTACATGACTGTTATAAAAATACAATTATTTATATTACATATATGTATATACACACACACACACACACACATATATATATATATATTGGGATTCACTGAACTGACTCAATAAATTATCAAAACAAAGAATATGGTCACGTGCGTTTAACATGTCAATATTCAGAAAAACATATGTACATACGTAAACTGAAGAATGATTTAAAACTACAAATAAATAAATAGTTATACCTTCATTTATTTTATTCATAAAAATAAAGATGACATGTCAATATTTTCGATAAATGTAACAATGTAGCAATTTAGTTTTATTAATACAGAAAATCAACAATGCGGTTTCTCACAAAGTTTGCAGATAATCTAAAATCCTTAGAAGAAAAAACGAAAGTAAATTTGTACTTTTTTTTAGGATTTTAATTACAAACTTTGAAAATGGACAAAATGTTTGATATTATTATTATTATTCATAAAAAAGGTTCAACTAACGCTTTACGAAAAAAAATGATTTGATAAGGAAAATTGTTGTTGGTTCGATTTTTATATTAGTATAACCTAAGGGAATTGTTCAAGTTCTACTCTAAGCTATGAGAGAGAATAACAACCTTCAGTCAATTTAGTGAACAATTAAACCTAGAAACTCACCTATTATGAGACGGAGAGCAATTTGTGTTGATGAGATGACCACCTAAAATAAGAACATAAAATAATGAATGCCTGACCTCTGTTGCAGAAACCGGAAGTTAGTTTTAACTAAATGTGTCATCTTAAGAATAATTATACATCAGGATTCGTGTCATAATCACACAGTAGCAAGTTCTCATTTAAATTTTATCTAGTTTGAGTTCTGACCTCTGTGTTTCTATTCTTCCTTGGTAAACGATCTTAATCAGTAGGTCATATCCGGTATAGGTCACACATCCTGTCCTACATGAGGTCACTTTGAAAGAAGACAACAGGCACCAGTTGTCCGCATAAAGATGCATTTTTCAATACTACAGGATGTAAATTAGACAAAATAAAGAAATACTCAATAACTCTCACCTGTTCTAGACTGAAAGTCTGGATCGTTAGCGTCTGTGAAGAAGAACGTCTACAAAAAACAAACAAACAAAAAATCAAGTAAAGCACACTAATTAAACGCATTATAAAAACAAAAACATAATTTTAAAACTATTTCCTAGTAACATTAACCCATGAGAGAAACACTTTCTCTTATCTAGCCGTGTTGCCGCACTTGCACTATCAATAAAACTAAACTTTTCAAGCAATTAGTAACCTGATCCTCCGTTAGAGGGCTCAGAAAGTAGCAGATTGATGTCCTCTTTAAGGCTTTAATTCTGTTTTATTATTGTTTTTTACATGAGAAATAACCTCAGGACAGACCGACAAAGCTGTTTTCTCACAAGAAAGTTTCTGGGATTCAGAAGTCATTGAACTCTCTTGATACTTGGAATATGGAACAAGCTTCTTCTGATGGAGAAGAAATAAGAGCAGATTAGAGGGAAGGCAGAAAGTCAACACCACACACCGCCAACTCTTGGGATATTCTCGTCAGACCATATAGTTGGATTTGACCGTCACTCTTAAAATGCACTCACGTCTCCATTCGGAGTACGATTTCTTTCTTGTGGCAATAACGTGACCCGAACGAAAGAACTTAGGTCCATAGTCAGACCCTTTAACCATTAGACCACGCTCGACTCTCGGTGATAAAAAAAAACACCTTAAAATAGTTTATCCATTGAAAATTATATAACAATTAGTAAGTACCGTTATATTTACCTATCCTTCTTATACCTATATTAATCTAGGTTACGTGTGGTAAGTAAAAGCCAAGGTACAGACAATGTAATGTTTCTACCTGAGCTCTCCCAAATCACATACGACATCATTCCAAGGAATCTTCTAACCCATTGGTGGCCTGGCATGGCCAGGTGGTTAGGGAGCTTGACTCGCAATCTGAGGGTCACTGGTTCGAATCCCCGTCTCACCAAACATGCTTGCCCTTTCAGCCGTGGGGCGTTATTATGTGACGGTCAATCCCACTATTCGTTGGTAAAAGAGTAGCCCAAGAGTTGGCGGTGGGTGGGGTGATGACTAGCTGCCTTTCCTCTAGTCTTTCACAGCTAAATTAGGGACGGCTAGCGGAGATAGCCATCGTACAGCTTTGCGCGGAATTAAAAAAAACCCATCTAACCCATTGGACAGAGATTGAATCTAAACAGGACTTAACTTCAAGTGTTGTCGTACCGGCAAAAATGAGCAATTATGCATAGGAACTATTACAAAGGTATGTTAATTACATCACAGTGCCTTAGTGTGTATTATGATCTTAGTCAGCCGACCATAAAAAGTAACTTCCTCATCCTTTACACAGCGTTTCCTGACTGTTGTGTGGCACAAGTAATGAGTCTAAAAATATTCAAACTACGTTATTTTCTCACACTTTCCTAGTTCCACCCCTGCTAATCCGTTTTAAGCTGCAGCGTGAACAAAGCAGTAACAATATGGAAGAACACCATCCTAGCATTTAGGCCTACCAGCTAGTCACCACTCGCCAGTGGCTCTTGCTTACTTCACCCTTGTCCTAACAATGGTTGTCATTCCACGTCATGAACTCTTCAATTTATTTCTTTGTAAGGAAAATCTCGATCAGCGCTTTCATGCTCGACTTGTCAGACACGTGAAAGATGGTTTTAGTCTTGACAAAGCAAATCTCGCCAAGCTTCCTGAACTAACGCTAGGCTTAACAAAGTCTGTCTGATTCAGGGTTAGATGATCACAAACGCAGCTGCAGGAATTACTTTGAAGCTACCTACCTCATCCCCCCAGTGGCACAGCGGTATGTCTGCGGACTTATAACGCTAGAATCCGGGTTTCGATACCCGTGGTGGGCAGAGCACAGATAGCCCATTGTGTAGCTTTGTGCTTAATTCATCAAAGAACTGCGTGTCATAAAATACCCAATTAGGTCAACAGTTTAAGATTAAATTTAGATTTGATTTCTACCAAAATCACTTCAAGTACAATTCTCTCTCAAGTCAACGAATTCATTATTTGATCTTCTGCATTTACACACTTACACAAGATAAATTCGAGTAATCAATACAATACAGATACCTGAGTGTTCTCACGGTTTAGAATCTCGAGCGGAGCTCTAATACTGGGCTTTCCCAAATACCAATCTTCCTGAGAATTATATAACTGCAGGAGTTTCATCAATCTGGGAACGTTGACGTAGTTGTCGTCATCAAAGTGACAGAACCACCTGCAATGATTGGTTAAATATAACTGTTTCCACGTTTCTCTGGCCTTAGAAGCATCTTTAACTCGGTGGTTGGTAAGGTAGATTATTTTAGCCATACAACTTTTAGCTTTCTTCCTTTTGTTATTTATCAGTGAAAGAAGTTAATCGTTATTTTGAGAAAACTTTAATTCATTTCGAGAAACTACTATGCTGAAAGGGTGTTTATTCGCCAATATGAAAAACAAAACAAAACAAACAAACAAAATCCCTTTTCACACTTTATTTTTAATTTACCGATTTTTTGTTTTTACTCATAAAAAATGAGAGAAAAGACATCGTCTCAATTTCCACACAGATCTTGTAACTCGAATCTAAGACGACGTATGTGGGAGAAACTCAACGGTGCGCACCACTTGACGGGGGTGGGGGTTAATGGAAAGATGGCTCTCTTGCTTTTCCCATGGAAATTAGTTAAGGAATTCTGGGAATTTCTGCCTATAACTTTGGGGGTCTACATCATTTAGCTGTTTCAAATCTATGTGGAGTTTGTTAAGTTAGATAATTGAAAAAATAATACTTACAGCAGAACTTTTTTCCCGCCATGATAATTCAGACAACTATTTTAGTGTTAATTTGGTGTATTTTTTTCCATATCAGTAAGACACTTAATTTGTTAAGTTTTGAATTTGGTAACAGTTTTAGACATTACTGTTTAAACCTCTGCTTTTTACCATTACAGAGCCAATTTGACTTGATAACAAAATACAACACAGAACAATACACACGCACACATATATATAAGTATATATTAAATGGCTCATTTTAATGCTTGAATATTTGAGATTCACACATTTTCCCGCGTTACCATTCATATTCTGGATTTGCCATTGAAACTGTCATATGGTGTTGTGCAAGTCCAACAACTGAAAATGCAAAGAACTAAAATTTAAAAACCTTGTTAATGCACTTTGCAAAATTCTGGGATAATTTTCTTTAAAACTATTGTGCAGAAAAGACCCCTATTTTTAACCTCATTCATAGTATAAGTTGAAATTGATAAGCTATAAACATGCAATTATATCTCAAGTAATACTTAAATATAGTTAAAGTCACGTCCGGAGATTATGACCTCCAAGGGGGCATACCTTACACTTCCTCAATTATCAAAGTATTAGCTGGATGAACCCTATTTTTATGTAGTCATCCAGAGGTTCCACGAAGAGTTGGGATACCACCTGTTCAGTACAACCTTCCTGTGCAGGGTGGAACCCTGACAGCGGCATTGAAGAAAAACACCTGCCATTTTTCTCTGCTTAATGGATTTATACACTCTATAGTGATTATAAAAAATACAATTACGCAAAACTGTTTCTTGTACTAGTTGCACAGTGAACAAAGGTTAAAAATGTATTAAGTGAAAACAGTATTGAGCTTTACAATAATGAATTCGTTG